TTTGCAACTGAAGCCTCATGTCTTACCTAGGGTCGCATAGCTAGTAAGAAGCCAAACCTCAACACAGCTGAGCCAGACTCCAACCAGACTCAGGAGCCTTGGTGTGATACACTCTCTTTCCTACTCCAGTTGGACACATGGCGAAAAGGTGTCTGTTATGTAATGTAGCTGGGCCTGGTAGCCAAGATTCATCTGCTCATTGCAAAAACTGTTGTTGAGCTGCAACTTCTTGTCTGGTGCCCTGTTCCACCCTACCTTTTACACACACATGAGTGGGAAGTCTCTGATGTCAGGAAATGAATATGATTGCCTCAGAATTTTGTATTCCCATTAATATTCAACTAATACTTGGGATGTAATGTGTTAAATATCATGATAAAAATGTGCACTGTATTCTATAGAGGTATGTGGAGAAATGGCGGTGTTTTCTCCATCACCACAACCTCCTCTTTCGTGTCTTCTCCTATTTGTCCTCCTCTTCCTCTTCATTTTCAGTCCTTTTACTTTGGGTGAAATATAAGGTGATATAGTTCAGGGTTGCCTGACCCCTGGATCCTCTTGCTTTGGCCTCTCAAATGCTGGGACCACACTTGTACACTAGCACATCTGGCTACAGAAGTTTTCTCACAGCAGTTCACTCATGAGGAGAATCCTGAAAGTCAAAAGAGTAGATTAAGTGAGATACCAGGGAACTCCCTATAGTAGAAGTCTTCTATAAGAAGGTATTGTAAATTCAGTGGTTCAAGTAAGGCAAATGTTCATTTTTACCTTGTATAGAAAACGAGAGGTGACAGTCCATGATAGGATACCTCACCATCCTCATTACATGGACTCAATATTTAAGGTTTAGTTAGGGTTCCATTTGTCCTTTTTTGGGCCATCCAGAGACAAAGGGAAAAGAAGCAGAATGGAACATATACAGCCTCTTTATAACATCACAATTCAAAAGGTTATGTGCATCATTTCCACTTATATTCCATTGTTTAAAACAATTCCATGGCCTCACCCCACAACGAGAGGCTAAGAAATGTCAGCATGGGTACTCAGCTAAAACACAGTGACCTCTATTAAGGAGGAACGAGAGGATAGGTGTTAGGATGAGCAGTGAGTAGCCTCTACCACAATTGGGTTTGTGGTCTGCTAATCACTGAAACTCTGGGTACATACAAGAATGAGAGACCAAAGAGGCAAAGAAGTATTATGAAGTCAAAGGAAGAAATACCTAAGAGCAGAAAGAGCGATCAGGACTCAGCATAAGGGTAGTATATAGGAAAATAGGTGCTGGAGGTTGTGAGCAGTGACCAGATTTTAGAGTACCTCCTGATAATCAAGGAATTTAATATGAACTTTGTCCTTAAAACAACGAGGAGTCACTGAGATCTTTTAAACTGAGGAACAGCACAATTCAATTTGAGTTAAGAAAGATCACCCAGCATATACCAGAGTAAACAGATTCAAGAAAGGAGTGACTGGAAGCAAAAGGAACAATTAGGAGCTATGTAGTAATCAGAAAGACATAAAACTCTGAGCTAAGGCAGTGGCAGTAAACAGGAGAGAGAGATCAAAGAGATAGAAGGAGGTGTAATTAGGAAACCTTGGTGAGTAAATGGATGTGAAATTAGAGACAGGGAGGATATTGGAATGATGTACAGATTCTGGCTTGGGCATTACCATTGTTTTAGGTAAGAAATTAGAGAAGTCAAGTGGTGATGCTTTTGAAAATGTTGTTTGAGATGTCCATGGCATCACTGAATAACTAGATACACTGATATAGAAAAATGTAGATGAGTCTGGGAGTATGGGAAGTGCAAAAGGATGGATGCTGTGGTGAGTCTATGTTCATGGGAGTACCAGAGCATTGAGAGCACAACCCTGAACAATATCAAGATTTATTGGGAACCAAGGAGAGACAGATACAGGGTAAGGCTCCAAATCAAACAGAAAGTAGAAAGGAATGGGAAAGACATTGTTGGAGAAGGACTAGGTTGCAATACTGATGAAAATACTATTGTTGCAATACTGATGAAAAGTCAAAGTGAGGATTCAAAGTTGTCCTTTGGGTCTGGCAAATAGGTGATTACTGTAAACATTATTTAGAGCTGGAGAGATGGCTCAGCAGTGAAGAGAACCTGCTGCTCTTACAGAGGAGCCAGGTTGAATTTCCAGCTCTCATATGGAGGCTTACAACCATCTCTAACTCCAGTCCTGGGGGTCTGACGCCCTCTTCTGGCCTTCAGGCATGACATGCATGTAGTGCACAGACAAACCTGCAGACAGAATATGTATACACACAAAAATAAATAATCAAATTTATAAAACATTCTTAAAGAGAAGAGGTGTGGCCATGAGCTACATTGAGGAGCAAATAAAAGATGAGCAATGAAAGTCAACCAGGTTGAGGAATAAAGATGAAAAAGTGTATGATGCCAGGTCAGGGAGAATGGTCCAGAAGAGAGAGTTCAATGAGTCTGAATGCTGCAGAGAATTAGTATGTACAAAAGTGGCAAATGATGGAAGAAGGTCCTTCAGGCACTGAGAAGAAATCACACGGGGTAGAGGGCACAAGTGCAGGTTTCTATCTCCTGAATAGAAACTGGGGACAAGGTAAGATGAGTTTATGAGTGTTGATGTTAATGAGAAAACAGAAAATTGAAGGTATTTCCTTCTAAGGACCTCTGCTTTCTCTGAAGTGTGAGACAGAGTCATCTAAATGGAAATATCCTTTGATCTAGTGTGTTATGAATGCTTGGCAACAATTACATCTAACTGAGCAAGAGGTAGCAATGATGAGGTTGTCTTCAGAAATAATGCTCACTTTAGTGCTATTGGAAGTGTTGGATGCATGGGTGGATGAGTGGTTGGATAGATGGATGGATGGATATTAAAAAAAACCCATCTAACAAACACTAACATACCATGTATTCTGTTTCCTCACTCTATTGAACTTTTTCAAAATATATTCAGAAACTCAATCCAGGCTAAAATTTTTCTTGGATCCCACCCACATTCAGTAATTATTTGCCATCCTTATGCAGTTTTAATAAAGCGAGTTTTTTTTCAACCTTGACTTTATTTTGCAGTTTGGGCCAATAGTTCTTGGTTGTAGAGATTGTCCTGTGTATTATATGAATGACATGTTTAGCAGCATCCTTGGCCTTTCTCTACTACATACCATTCCCATTTCTACAGTTGTGACAACAAAATATTTCTATGGCAACATGAAAGATGCTCTCAAAGACAAAATTGCCCCCAGTAGGGACATTCTCTTGTTAAAATAGGTCCTGGAGAGAGAAGAAGGGAATCAACACTAGAAAAGTACTTCTATTTACTAGCTGACCATTATATTTGAAGTAGGTGTAATCTCTTTGGGCAGATTGGCATATTGAGTTTCAGAGAAGTTAAATAACTTTACTTAAGATGACTAGGTAACAAATGATACAGCTGAGATTTGAACTCAGGTATGTTAGATTCCTAAAAGTTTGGTTCTTGGTTAAACAGTAAAAAGCAAGTAAAGATTAATACATACGTACACATGCAAAACCATGTTTAAATTGTGCTGTCATATCCATACCGCCCTATCAGCTACTTAAAAATATTTACTAAATCTTTCAATTTCATTTCCTATGAATCTACATCACATTTTAATAGTTACATAATATTCATCTCTAGATAAATCATAATTTATGTGACCTGATTCATGTTATATGATCTTGAAAATTTTCTTTGAGGAATGCTGCATGGAAGTTATCAGCATATAATTATGTCAGTGTTTTTTGCTCAATGAGAGTCCTAGAAGTGATGAAAATGAAAGGGACATTCAAAGTCGCCACTTGAATGAATGCAAATCACTCTCTTAACAGAGCTTATAAAGATGACTTTCATCCAATTATTTACTAGTTCATTGTAATAAATTAGTCTAATGGAAAAATGTGATATATTGTTCTTTTAATATACATTTTATGATTGCCAATGAAGCTGTTGTTACATTTTCATGTTTCTGAGCTGTTTCTTTTTCTACTTTTTCATATGTCCTTTTAAACCTTTGTCCATTTTTCTGTTTTAGCAGCTTGCTTGTTTCTTATTATTTGATATTAGCTCATTGACTATTATGTGCATTGTATTTTCCCTAAAATGTATTAATAGTATCATTTTTCTAGATGAATTATTTTTAAAACCATTTTTATTTTGCTTAGGAAAGCATAATTAGATTAGTTTTAAGGTTTATAGTAGAGGCTAATAATATGCTAATTTGCCTGTTATATTTGCTAAGCTTAGGATTATCTCTCTCTCATGAGACACAAAAATAACTCTGAAGGGAATATGTTATCTAAATGTTAAAAGAAGAAAACAATAATTAGAAAAATAGTGGTGAAATATTTTAAGATCTTAATACAGAGATAATCTTACTAAGACAAAAAACATTTAAAGCTATTGATGGATGTATAGATTGTATGCAGCTTTTTAGGGGTATAGAATTTTAGCTTATGTAAGATAAAGCACACTTACTATGTATACAACTTAGTAAGTTTTGACATATCTAAGCATCTCTGAAATCATTACCACCTTCAAGACAATGGGTATATTTGTCTTCTTGAATACATTCTTCCTGTCTCCTTGGAGGTTCTTCCCTCTATTTCCTACCACATCTCTCCTACCGTGAGAAACCACTGATCACTTTCTGACAACACAGGTTCATTTTCATTCTCCTATAAATGGAAACATGTAGCTTACTGACATTTTTCTTTTGCTGTGAACTTTGAATTTACCACAATTATTCTGATAATAATTCAAGTCTTCCATAGAGGGTTTTTTTTTTTTTTTTTTTTTTTTTTGGTTTTTCGAGACAGGGTTTCTCTGTGTAGCTTTGCGCCTTTCCTGGAACTCACTTGGTAGCCCAGGCTGGCCTCGAACTCACAGAGATCCGCCTGGCTCTGCCTCCCGAGTGCTGGGATTAAAGGCGTGCGCCACCACCGCCCGGCAAAACATTTAAGTCGCTACCTTGGTTCCACTGGGGCTCGAACCCAGGACCTTCTGCGTGTAAAGCAGACGTGATAACCGCTACACTATGGAAACCACACACCCATAGAGGTTTTATGTAGCAGAAAACATGCATGTACTGTTACTTTGCTGTTTATTCTTTATCCAGCATAATTATTGTGAGGTTGGTAATTGTACAAATCACTAGTTTCTCACTTTTATTTCTTCATAGTATGTCTTTCCATCTACCATGATTTCATTATCTTTGAGTTATTTGTACCTTGACAACATTACAGGTAAAGCTTCTATAAACATTTAACATTACAGATAAATGAACATTTGTGTATAAGGCTATATGATTAATTTTTTTCTTTAGGTTGCTTGGTAATAACATGTTTAATGTTTTCATATTTTTTGTCAAACTTTCCTCAAATAATTTTGTGATTTTACTTTCTCGAAAAGGCTGTGAAAATCTCATTATTTAAACACACATGCACATATACACATACGAGAGAGAGAGAGAGAGAGAGAGAGAGAGAGAGAGAGAGAGAGAGAGAGAGAGAGAGAAGACTTTTTCAGTTAAAACATTTGGGCCTGGATACTTATCTTTGGCACTATTTATTTATTTATTTATTCAATATTTTCAAAAGTTATATGACCATTTAGATGATTTCTTTCAATGGGTTACATTTTTAGATGTCCTCTGCATCTATAACACATTGTGTGATGCTGGCGACTTAATCTACACTCCACCACTGAGCTGCTTGTACTTAGCCAACCCCTAATGCACATTTTTTTTATATTCCTACCAGGAGTCAGAGTTCCAACTCCACCATATCCTTCTCAATGTAATATTTTCTGTCAATTCATCATTTTGATAAGTATGTAGTAGGATCTTAATGTAGGTATTTTTGGCATTTCCCTGATGATCTAATGATACTAAACCTCTACTTATGTTTGCCGTAATTGCACACTTTTAAACTTGATAAAGTCTAATATACCAATCTTTGCCTATAAATTAGTTTTAGCTTATCAATTTCTTCTTTTATAAATGTTTGTGTCTAAGATATCTTTTTCCATGCCAAAGTCAGAAGGACTTTTCTTAATATAATTTTTTTTCATTTAAGCCTGTATATTTGGACATAGAAAAAGTTTGTATTACCTTTTATCTATGATCTAAGATGTGGATTCGTATTCTGATTGTCACAACCTATTGTTATGAGTTTTCCATTACTGTATTATCATTGCTGATCTTTCTGAAAACAATCTAGTCATCTGTATAGCTATTAGGACTTTATTTGGACTTTCTGTAGCCATTGATCCATCTTGACACTGATGGCATGCCGCACTGTCTTGATTATCATAGGTTTAGATGATAAGGCTTGAAATTGGGTAATAGCGGACCTTCAACTCCATTTTTCTTTTAAGATATTATTTTTGTTAAGTCCTTTGCAATTTCCTATAAATCTTCGAATGAACTTATTAACTTCTATCAAAAACTTTGTTGGGGTTGCATTCAAACTGAAATACTTTGAATTTTTGGTAACTGGGGCAACTGTCCCCTCTCTGGTATTTTCCATGGTTACTTCTTATTTCCTTGTCTTTTCCACCTCTAAGAAAGGGTCCTGCTGTGCTCCCCTTCGGCTCCCCTTCATGCACTGCTGTCTGCGTGCTTCTCTCACATGTGACAGTGTGATAGTGATCAAAGGCTGGTCCTGTTGGTTTCTGTCATCTCTAAGAAACCACTAACTGTCACTGCTACATTCTCAATGGCTCAGAAACCATTGGTGCATGTGTTTCTTCTATTTGGTTTTGTCCTTTTGCCCCCTTGTGTCAGACTGAAAGAAAATGAGGCCCTATTGCCATATCTTAGAAAGAAATAGTTGAAATGGTGTTTTCCAGAAGGGGATGCATTTGCCCTTGTGTGTCTAATTTATAAGTGTACTTGATTTTTTGAGCCGCCATGTCAAGGCATTCTTCTGGGTCTCAGAGACATAGTGGTGAACATAGTAGACTTGTTTCATAAAGCTTAAAATCTATTACAGCCATAATGGAAATTAGTGTGGAATTTTTGAAAGAAAGAGAAAGAGAAAGAAAAGCAGAGGAAGGGGGAGGGTAAGACAAAGCAAGAAAGAAACTGTCTAGTTAGGGTTACTGTTGCTGTAATGAAACACCATGACCAAAAGCAACTTGTGGAGGAAAGGGTTTATTTTGCTCATACTTCCATATAACAGTTCATTCTCAAAAGGAATGAGGGCAGGAACTCATGCAGGGCAGGAACCTGGAGGCAGGAGTTGACTCACAGGCCATGGAGGAGTGCTGCTTACTGGCTTGCTTCCTTTGGCTTGCTCAGCCTGTTTTCTTATAGAACCCAGGACCTCCAGCCCGGGAATGGCACCACCCACAGTGGGCTGGGCCCTCCTTCATCAATCACTAATTAAGAAAATGCTTCACAGGCTTGCTTGAACCTGCATCTATGGAGGCATCTTCTCAATTGGTGTTTCCTCCTCTTGATGATATAGCTTGTGTCAAGTTGACATAAAACTAGCCAGCACAAAAACTAGCAATAAAACTACTATATGAATCAGCTATACAATTCCTGAGCATTTACCCAAAGGTCTCTATACCCTCCCTACATGTTTACTGCTCTTCTGTACACAATGGCAAGGAAATGGGACCAGCCTAGGTGTCCAACAGCAGATGAATGAATAATGAAAATGTCGTACACATACACAATGGATTATGTTCAACCATATTTAATGAAATCGTTAAATATGCAGGAAAATAGATGGAATTAGAAAATACCATATTGAGGCAACCCAGATTCAGGGAGAGAAGCACTACGTATTCTCTCTCATAGAGATCCTAACACGTTTTGAAAGATGTGCATTTATACGGGAGTGACTTTGTGTAGATGCCAGGAAACTGGAAAGGGGCCTGTGAGAGGAGACAAAAGAGGTTTCAAGGGAAAAGAGCAGGGAGGGTAATAGAACATGTGTGGTCTGACTGTGATAAGAGGAATACTGGGTGTGGAAATGTTTAAGCAGACATTGGTGGGGGGTGGGGGTGCAGAGAGATGATGGAGAGAAGAGGAGGAGTCAACAGCAGCAACAGTAATAATAATAATAATAGCCGGGCGGTGGTGGCGCACGCCTTTAATCCCAGCACTCGGGAGGCAGAGGCAGGTGGATCTCTGTGAGTTCGAGGCCAGCCTGGGCTACCAAGTGAGTTCCAGGAAAGGCGCAAAGCTACACAGAGAAACCCTGTCTCGAAAAACCAAAAAAAAAAAAAAAAAAAAAAAATAATAATAATAATAATAATAATAATAAATCTAGTTAGGAGACAGAAAATTAACTAAATGAAAATATATGTTTGTTTAAATGTATGTATTTATGTATGTACGATTAAAAAGTGATAAATGCTAACATCAATGCAACAAAAAATAAAAAGTCAGGGAAGAAAGGAGGTTGGGTAGAGGGAGGTACATCAAAGTTTATATAAACTGAGTTGGAAAGCCTTTGTGAGAAGTGTATTTGACTGGAATCCTGCAAAACGGAGCAAGCAAGCTATATGGATAGTTGGAGAGAGAACTGTCAATACAAAGGTTGTGGTATGTATAAGGTATAGTAAGGGACATTTGTAACTAGTACAGTACTGGAGCAGAAGCTCACAAAAATGCTATCTAGCTATTTCAGGTCTCTGTTAGGAGAACCAAAGGAATGACCTAGAATTATGTGGCTCAATACTCATCTACTTACTCCTATTCTATTGTCTATTACTTTCAACCATGAAATATATTTGGCTTGTGATTGTACATACAATGTTCCTGTTAACACTTTTACACAGGCATTCCACATGTTAACAATTCTAATCACAGCTATTCTTGTACTCCTCCAGCTCATCTTATATATAATATCCAAGGTACTTTGAATTTTCTTCTCAACTTTATTTTATTTATGTTTTAAGTAATGAACATGCCATATTATGAAATTTTCTGTAGGAGAACAAAATAATTATGAGAGAAAACCAATTTTCTTCTTTCTATTCCTCAGCATCGAGACAAACAACATATCTAGATCCTTAAGTGTCCTTTTTAGAAATATTGAGTACATATATGTACTAAACATGAGTGTGTTGAGTAGCCCTTTAACCTCACCTTCACCCATACAAAGCAGCTTGACAACCCTGTTGGGTAGTTGCTGTTATACTCATATTCCAATTGAGAGAGGATGCTGAGGCTCAAATAGATTCAGGTAGATGTTCCCTGAAGTCTCACTGGTAGTTAAATATAAAACCCAGGGTTGCATTGCTGTTTTTTATCTGCACTCTTTCTCCACACCGAGGGTCAGTTCTATGCATTCATCATGGTAGGAGACATTGAACACTTGTTGGTAGTTAGAGGAAGCAAGAAAATTCCTCTGCTCCCATTAACCATTTTAGTATTCACATGGTCAACCAGATACAGTGGTGGAATGCATCAGTGAGTACCTTGCCTAATTGTCACCCGGGTATCTTTCTTCCTTCTCTACAGATATATTTAGGTCCACCTGAGGACAGCCAAGTACCTCCAGTGCCTCCACCTCGAGTGACAGCAAGAAGGCACAAACCAATCACAATCTCGAAGCGTTTGCTGAGAGAAAAGACAGTGTTCTACACTTCTTCCCTGGATGAAAGTGAAGGTCAGTGCTTAGCTTCTGCATGACAATTACATGCGAAGAAAATATTGAAGGACAGAAATGGGAGTGTGGCTATTTTCTCCATACAATGATAGGCCTTTCCTAGTTCTTTGGCTTACAAGCAGTCAGGAGAAGCAAAGCTTATAGTTTGTATTCTAAGAGGAAATTAGGTTATTGGCATTTGATGGGGCAGAGGTAAAATCTTTAATGGAAGCTACATGATCCCTTGCAAGGCTAGCGGCAAATCCAAGTTGATCTTAGGTGTGTGCATCTAGTACATTGACATACGTGAACAAGGTTCTTGCTAATGTTCCGAGAATATAATTTAAATACAGCTACAATGGATTGAATAACTGCCGTGTTCCAAGTAATTTGATAGAGGACAAATGAAGTTAAGCCACATGGCCCTGCCTTTGTGGAGCTTGTAGGATAGAGAAAGATATGGCTATGTGAAAAATTAACATCATCCAATGGAATGATAATTCGTGAAGAGACTGCACCTTTCCTTAGTTGGCCTTAGTTCCCTGCCACTCCACTCAGACTACTTTATCAAGGTTACCTATAATTTCCACATGACCGAACCAAGCACCCCACTATTCTTGTGAGCTGGTGAGCAACATGTGACAGTTAACACCTGTCTCTTCATGGACTTAGCCTTCAGGACACTAAATTTGATCCTTCTCATTCCATCTCATCCTCCTCTACTGCTTTTCCTTCTTTTTTCTAATTTTGATATTTGAAGACTCCAAAGGTCTTAACTCTCTTCCCTATGCTATTTTTTTTACATCATCTCTCTAGGTCTAGTGTGTAAATATCGTTTAAATGCTACAGATGACTCTCCAATTTTTTAAAGACAGGATTTGTTCTCCCCTTTATTATTATCTCAAAAATCTCTGTTGAACTATTCTCCACAGATTGACTCACTGACTTCTAAAATTAGAAATTCAAGATGAATAGAACATGATTTGTATTTTATTTTAATGGTGGTGGCTGGAATCTAAGACTTTGCACAATGACAAGTGATCATTCTATCACTAAGCTACACACCTCTTCCTCAGCCCAAAGCACAGTTCTTGATTATCTATGGCTTCTCGCCCTACTCCTTTTGTGATCCCTCCCTTCTAAACAACTTTCAGCTCTAGTCACCTGAATACCAAGGTCAAGGACGTTGGTCTTTCCTGGTGGCTCTTTTCCTTTACCTCTTGCATTAGATCCATTGCAATTCATTTTGGCTGTGGATGGACATCACGTGCTAAATCCTTAGTTTCCCTTTGGACCACACACACTGAGGCTGTGCCATCTCTTCCCAGCTGTCTGTGCTGGCCTGCTCGAATGCCTGTAATCCATTCTCCAAAGCAGCCAGTAAATTGTCCATCCTTTCAAAAATGTGAAGCACGTGACTTCATTCCCCCTGCTCCAAACTTTCAGTGACCTCTCTTCATGTTTCGGTTTTTTATGCTGTTTTCAGTGACCCCTGCTTATCTATCTGAACTTTCTTTATGTACTTTTCTGTCCCCTTTGCTCTCTCTCTCCTCTAGTTTCATGAGCCTTGATATTCCTTATGGGTCTCAAGTTTGCAAATGCCATCTCCTTGTAGAGACCATTTCTGAGCATCCAAATCTTCCTTCCTTTCCCTTTACATTGCTTTGTTTTATTCATGTCACCTGCTACTACTTGATGACATATTTAGTATCTACTTTTCCCCTCAGAATGTTAAATCCATTTTATCACCATGTCTGGGAACAATCCCTACTATACAGTGTGTGTGTTTAGTACATGTTTATAATGGGAATGAATGGATGTATTAGGTGTATGAATAGAAAGGAATCACTTCCATAAAGGAGGAAGAGAAAGTTGAAAATGGATGGGAGTACTGAATGTTTGTTTTGTTGCCCCATAATTAGATTTTTTATGAAATAAATTTGTTTATAATGTTCCCCGCAAAAACTTTATACCAGCAGACCCTTTTATTTAGCGTTTTATACCCTACACCAGCACAACACTTGCTACATAATAAGTGTCCAGTTAATGAATGTATCAAATGAATGAACTGAGTGTCAGTAGACCTAAGGTCTAATTTTATTTTGGTCACTAACTTGTTAAATAACTTGAACTAACCACTTCCCGTATCTGGAGTTCAATTTGCCCTGCTCTATGGTGAGGGCTTTGTAGCAGATCTTCAGTGAGATTACAGTCTATACATTAATTTTTTTCGTTTTTGGTTTGATAAAGAATGATCAGGCCATAAAATATACCCCTTTAAATTGTAAATCTCAATAAAATGTATGTGCAACCACCTTATCTGAAAATATTTGCATTATCCCAAAAGGAAACCTTCCAATTCCTCCTTTTTTTCCCAGCCTCTGGCAATTACTTTCTATCCCTAGAGACTTATTTATTCTGAAATTTTCATATAAATGGACTCATATTCTATATAGGTAGCTTTTATGGGTAGCAAATTATTCTAGGGTGTATGTCCTTTCTGCTGCTATATGGTATTACAGGGTGTGACTATAGCACATTATGTTTATCCATTCCTCAGTGAATGGTCACTTAGGTTGTATTTGTGTTTTAGCTATTATGAATAATACTGCTGTGAGTATTCAGGTTGCTGGGTGAATGTCTGACTTCAGTTGTCTTGAGTATATTGCTGAGTTATAGATTTACTCTGAAGTTAAACTTTTGCAGAATAACCATGCTAATTTCCAAAGCATGTATGCCATTTTACTTTCTCACCAATAAAGGATAGTGGTTCATATTGATCTGTATTCTGATCAGTACTTGTTACAGTAATCTGACCTTTTCATTCTGGGCATCTTAAGTGGGTGTGAACCTATAATCTCATTTAATCCTCAATATTCCGGTATGAAGTAGGTGCCTGAACTTCAGGAAGTCCTTTGTAGCTCAGAGAAGGTAAGTAATTTGTCCAGTTAACACCACTATGAAACTAGAAGGCAGCAGTTTATACCCTTAAATTTTATCCCAAATCCCATATGCCTACTAAATGTAACACTGTACTTTTTTTTTTTGGTTTTTCGAGACAGGGTTTCCCTGTGTAGCTTTGTGCCTTTCCTGGATCTCGCTCTGTAGACCAGGCTGACCTCGAACTCACAAACATCTGCCTGCCTCTGCCTCCTGAGTGCTGGGATTAAAGGGGTGCGCCACCACTGCCCGGTAACACTGTACTTCTTAAAATGTGCCTCAGCACCATTCTAAATAGGAACCAATCCTACTCACCACTTTTCTTGACAAGTAGCATTTCATTATTTGATTTCCAAATTTATATTCTGTTTATAAATAATATTTTAGTAAATCCTTCCCCCATCATCATGGACCCTTTCATATCCTGTATCAAATCTTTGGCCATTCTAAATCTGTTATATTTGTTTGACACATGGTCTTGCTATGTGGCTTAGTCTAGAACTGAACTTTCAATCCTTCTTCATCAGCTTCCTGAGTGCTAGGATTACAGAAATGTGCAACTAACTACACCTTACATCTGTCTATTCTACCTCTTTAATAAAAAGACTGTGTTTCTTTACTGGTGCTATTTCCGTTCAGGTCTTTGTCATCAGCATTCCCATATATCCCCAAACCTCTAGCTTGTCTGCTCTAATCTGCTTTTCATACTGAACCCAAGTGGATGTTCTGGAAACATATATTTGATACTGCTTCCTTTCCTCCTACCAGTGGTATGTTCATATTCCTAAGTATGACATCAGGTCTTAATGAAATACCACCAAGCTACCATAGACCAAGATCTAGCTACTCACATCTTTTATCATAAATGCTCAAGACAAACTGAACTTATTATTTGCTTTTTAAAGATATTTTCTTGTTTTAAAATTATCATTTGTTTTTGAAATTATAATGTATTTACATCATTTCCCCCTTCCCTTTCCTTCCTTCATAGCCTGCCATATATTCTTCCTTGCTCTCTTTCAAATTCTTGGTCTCCTTTTTAATTGACTATTGTTACATGCATATATGTATATATATGAATATAAAAACATCTATATTCCTAAGTATAACGTACTCAGTCTGTATCATGTAATATTTTCTAACAAAGCATGATTATTTTTTACTCCTCCAAGCTGTTGTTTGTCTGAACAATTTTGATTCATTTATACCCTCCACCCGTTTCTCAGCCAGAGTTCAACAATTAACTCTAAATGATCATTATAACAATTATATCTAAATGAAAAGAAGACAGAACAGTAATTCCCTAAGATTAGCTGTCTAGTCAATGTTTAAATTTTCCCATTGTCTTATTACAAAAAACAGGTTACAGATAAGGTCCCTGTGTTACCATTGGTGAATACACCTCTCAAATTTCTCCTTTTGCTGAACAGAGACAGTATGCTTAACTACTGAGCTGTAATATAGCTTTATTTACATGTCTTTTAAAATTTATTTTTGTGGTGCTGAGAATGAAACCCACAAACTTGCACATTCTATACCAGTGCTCTATCACTGAGTTGTTAATCCCAGCCCTAAGTTTCCTATTATTAATGAAGGTGACAATTTCCATAGTAGATATTATTAATCTGGGGGCTTCATTGATTGTTTCTGGAGACAGTGAATAGCTTAAGGTTAGCTTTCAGAATTTTAAATATATGTGTGTGGGCTTATTTTTCTAGCAAAAGATTTTCTGGCTGTTATTGTGTTCTCTGAAGCTTTAACTATATTCGGAATCACTTAAATGCCTATTCTAATGGGCATAGGAAATTATGGACCACAAAGGCTAAAGGAAGAATGTAAATTGGCTATTTGAAGATATTTTTACATGGATGGAGAAAGAAATTAAATTCTGTTAGACTTGTTAGCTTGAAATTTGAGAAACCTTAAAAAATTGCTTTTAAAAGAACTACTTGAGAATTAGTTGATGCATTTATTTAGAAAAAGTAAATTATGTAATTGATTGGGCACTCTGTCCTTTTTGAATTGCATCCCCTTGAATAAAACAGCTTGGAATACTAGAGTTTATTCAGTTGTGTTGGTGAAAGTCATATAAAATCTTTAATTGAACCTCATTTGAATGAGACCTGTGACTCTATACAAATTGGGCAGGGTGCATACTCTTCTTGTGGGATGTAGTCAGTCTGAACTACAATAATAACAATTTTCAAAGTGTGTGCAGATTTTCAAAGTTAAATATGTATCCATGCATCAAAACAAAAACACTTTTGAAGGTCATCATTAATCTTTCTTCTTTGTACCAACTTTTTTCAGATGAAACTCATCAAACTCCTAATGGTACAATCACTAGCAACCTGGATCCCCCCAAGCTACCGCAGCACCTCAGACTACCCATTCAGAAAAGTGGGGAAACTGATCCTGGAAGAAAGTCCCCAAACAGACCTGTTTCTGACTGCCAGTCCGAGCCTGGCCCAGAGGTGGATGTGGGGAAGCTGGTATTTAGGTTGCAGGATGGAGGGACCAAGACTACTGCAAAGGCCACTAATGGACCTGTGCCAGGCTCTGGACCCACAAAGACGCCTTCTTTCCATATAAAGAGACCAGCTCCCCGGCCAGTGGCTCACCACAAGGAAGGTAAATGTTTAGCAATCCTATGGGAGGCAGAACTGAACTGAGCTACTTTTCATCTTGGAAACTTTCTAGGGTTGGAGGTATCTTCCTTCCTTGCTCTGCCCTCCCTCTCTCCCTCTTGAAACGCTTCCTCTTATTCCTTGCTTTTTTAATTGTAATTTTTAAAATTAGCTTGCAATGTAATTAGTAGGTTTCAGTATGAGATTTTAATACACATTTCATTTGAGTTGATTGATCCCCCATTTCCTTGATTTCCCCTTCCCTGCTGTATAATTTTACCCTCAATATTCCCCCTTCCACTTGGTTCTATTGTCTTCCTTACTTGCTCCCTTAGAGCCTCCTTTTTCCCAGTCACATGTGTCTCTTTCTAGTTTCCTGCCCTTTACTCATATTTACTTTTTTGTGTAGGTGTATTTCACAGTTAGAATCTAAGATATGCATATGAGAGACAATATACTGCAGCTGTCTTTCTGAGCCTGGGTTAACTGGCTTAAAATAATTGCTTTTCATTTCCATCCATTTTCCTGACAAATTTCATTTTTTCTTTATAAACAACTAAAATTCTTTTGTGTATAGATACCACATTTTCATTATCCATTTATCTGTTGATGGACATCTGGGCCTAGCTGTTATGAATAGAGACCCAGTGAACATGGATGTGCAACAAATGATGTGGTCGCATATAGAGTCCTCTGAGTTCATGCCCAGGAGTGGTAGAGCTGGAGGAAAAGCAAGTTCTATATTTGCTTTTATAGATGCCTCCACACTACTTTCCATAGTGGCCTCAGCAGCTTACACTCCCACCAGTAGTATGTATGTCTTCCTCTTTCCCCACGTTGTGTTCTTGATGGCTAGCCATTCTCACTGGGTGAGATGGGATCTCAAAGTTGTTTTAATTTGCATTGCTTTGATGGATAAAGATGCTGAACATTTTAAAAGATATTTATTGACCATTTGTAATTCTTCCTTTGAGAAGTATCCTGTTTTGGGTTACTTCTGTTTATTGCTGTGAAGAGACACCACCACCAAGTCAGCTCTTATAAAGAAAGCATTTAATTGGGGACTTGCTTACAGGTTCAGAGGTTCAGTCTATTATCATCAAGGCAGGGAGCATGGCAACATGCAGGCAGACATGGTGCTGGAGGAATAGCTGAGAGTTCTATATCCTGATCCACAGGGAGAGAGGGAGACTGGGCCTGGCATGAGCTATTGAAACCTCAAAGTCCACCGCGAGTGACACACTTCCAACAAGGTCACACTTCCTAATCTTTTTAATCCTTTCTAACAGTTCTACACCCTGGTGACTAAATAGTCAAATATATGAGTCTATGGGGGCCATTCTTATTCCAATCGCCACAGTGTCTGTTCAGATTGTTGGCTCATATTCTAATTGATAACTGTTTTTTTTTATATTTACTTTTTAAAGTTTTAAAACTATTTATTATAGATATTAACTCCTTGTATGTTGTCTAGCTGATGAAGACTTTCCCCTATTCTCTAGGCTGTTTATTCTACTGAATTGTTGTTGTTGGTGGTGGTGGTTGTAGTGTACAGAAGTTCTTTAAATTCATGTGGTTCCATTTGCTAGTTCTTGGGCTATTTCCTGTTCAGAGATTTGTCATCTGTAATTGTATTCTTAAGTGTTTACCCTTTGTTTCAGTGTTTCCAGTTTAAAATCTAGGTCTCTGATTGACTTTGAATTAATTTTTGTGCCAACTGAGAGATAGGAAATCTAATTTCATTATTTTGCAAGTAATTATCGATTTTTGCTGACAGTTTGTTGAAAGGGCTGTCTTTCCTCCAGCACGTGTGTTTGACACTTTCATCAAAAATTAGGTTTGCATAGCTGTGTGTGTTTATCTCTGGTTCTTCTGTTGTGTTCCTTGGTCTGTATATCTGTTTTGTGCCAGTAGCTGTCGTATTACTACAGCTCTATAGTCTAATTTGAGGTCAGCTAATGTGATGTCTCTGGCTGTGTTTCCTCTGTTTACAATTGTTTTGACTATGTTATTTCATATTTCCTACAAATTTTAGGATTGTTTTTCTGTCTCTATGAATAATGGATCTCAACATGTAGCCCAGTAAGGCTTTGTACAGTATATCCTCCTGCCTCAGCCTCCTGAACCTCTGAATGCTGGGATTACAAGCATATACCACTGTACCTGGCCAGAGATCCTTCTAAAGGGAATGTGTTACTGTTTACTAGCACTGTGCTAGAGCACGGGTAAATAAATGTGGCGTAGAGTGGGGGAACTGGGAAGCAGGATAGTAGAGAAATACCAGGAATGGAATTGGTGTGAGAAGTATGCATGAAGCCTTTCACACATGCTGAATAGCACCACAGATTTCTTTCTAGAGAGGAGAGAGAAACAGAGAGGGGGAGGGAGGGAGATATTTTAGAGTATACATAAAAGCAGAAAGAAGTTGGAGGAAAAACAAGGCTGTCCAGATAAAGTGGAGGAAAGAAATTCTGTGGCAGGCTTAGTACATGCTGACAGCATTGTCTTTGGGCAGTTTAGTAAATGCTGTTTTGTGTGGATGCCAGCAAGATTTCCACAGAGCAATTGACACTTTCTAATTCTCTGGTTTGGCCCTCTAATGCATTTGCATGCTCATGTTATTTTCCATGTCTGTACCTTGGACTTTATAGCTTTAAAATGGGAAAAAGTATACCTACAAACAATTTTTAGGATTAAAAGACATAACAAACAAAATACCTGGCTCATAATCAGAAAATGAAATATGTTATTAATTTTCTCCCTCTGTCCTGTCTTCCCTCCCTACAATTTGCCTCTTATGGGAGGCAGCCAGGAAAGGCCAGACATCTATGGAGACATCTGCTTCAGTTTAGAAGTCATATATTGATCATCACATTAACCAAGTCGAAAGTTGGGTAACTGCACTTCTGCCCCCGTGGTAAACTTTGCCCTGCCCGTTGTCAAGCCAGGTCCCGTCAGCTTAGCACGCACAGGAACTTTTAGCCTTCTACATCAGTTCTGCCTCCAACATCTTTGGATATAGAATTCAATCCCTGTGCTATTCCTTCTGTTGCTTCTCTCACACTCCCATCCTCTGGGCTGCTGGCAGCAGCAGCTGTGATCTAATGGTATCAGTTAATATAAGAACTGATCTGACTTGTCCAGAGTCATCCAGGCTTTCTCATTCTGAGCTGCAGCATTGCCAGATTTTTTTTTTTTTGCTCTTAAATCAGTTAGCAACAAGCCTGTGTGGTACAGTTTCCCTTAAAGCCTCTGGCCTTCAGCCTTGGCAGAACTGGGATGGGTTGGGCCATGGTGGAGGCCTATAGCCAAATCTCTGGTATAGTTGCATCTTTAAACCTTCCCCACCTATCTCTTCACCTCTGCTTCCCACCCTAGTTTCGCTGATGCTCATGGTAAGTTCCTGGACACCAGAAGAGTTATCAGTTAATCAGTTGCTACACATAGTTCTCCCTCTGGCCTGAAGCTGATGATTAACCCCGTGTGCTAACAAGCAACCTGAACGGCAGGCTTGGAGAGAGAGTTGTCTCTTCTGCTTACCCACTCTACACCAAGCAGTTGTTACTCTTTTTCACCTTTGTTGTTGAAGATGCTTTGTTGCGTCTGCTATTCTGAATGTGTCACTGTCCTAACTTCTTCCCATCTTTACCCTTTTCACTGATCTAACATGTGAGTGCATTTCATTGTTCTCCAAATTTTCCCTCAAAGCAATTAGAAATAGCAGAAGCATGGTGCATGTTAAAGGACTTACTCCATGACAGTCAAGTAACTTTGCAATACCCACTATTGTTTCTTGATGGAATTTTATTCAGAACCCTTTTCTATCCCAGACATGGCCCTGTATGCTTTCTCTTATTCATTGCATATTTGTATTGCTGGTAAATGTGTGAGGTAGGTTTTACCCTACCCATCTCAGAGAAAGAGTGACTCAGACATGAAACAAATTGTCCACAGTCCCTTGGGCTATAATATGCAGAGATGTTGCTGGAAACTAGATGTTTGGGATGCTTTATAACACATTCAATTTTAAAGATTTACTTTATGCATATGGACATTTGTCTGCATGTATGTGTGTATCATGTGTGCACCTTGTGCCCATAGAAGCCAGAAACGAGTGTTGGGTCACCTGGAACTGAAGTTATAGATGGGTGTGAGCCACCATGTGAGTGCTAGAAATCAAATCTGATTCCTCCACAAGAGCAGCAAGTTCTTTTAAACACATAACCATCTGTCTAACTCCATAGTCTTATTTTTTTTCTACCTTAGCTGCCACCTTCTTTTCTGTCAGGCATTACTTTGGGGTATATAAAATTAGCATGTCTCCATTTGACCATTTGATGTTATCTTTTAAATTAATTTTCTAGGTTAGCATATAAACAAATGGTTCATCATGGCATCTTCATGCATGTGTATTATACTGTGTTGCCATTTCTTGCTCTTTCACTATCCTTCCCTGTGCCTCCTCTAACTCATTCCTTTTTGTTCCCCAGTTAGTCCTCCCTTCTACTTTCTTTCCTATTATATGTATTACATTACTCTCTCATTTCCTGCCTCCCTTATGATGTCTTCCTCCACTCTTCCCACTTTCTATTTTTGTGGCTCTCCACGTAGGTACCCCCCCCCCATCTATTAAAATCTAGGTTCTACATGTAAGAGAGAACATGTAGTGTTTCCTCAATGCTACTTTCTCTTATCGGTTCTGGCTTTACAAAATGCAAGTGTGTAGTTTCTACAAAAAGATTTAGGACTTTTGGGGAGAATGAAGAGGACAAAAGGCTATGCCTTTTGCTTATATTTGTACATTCGTTCAGACATCAAACTAAGCAAAGAGAAAGACCAAGATGAAAAGCCATGATTCTGCCTTCCCATTGTTCATAGTGAGAATGGCCCATAGGCTATCAGTTCCATCCCAGTGTAAGCTATGTTCTTGGGTGATAGTGAGAGCATTCCAGTAAGAGCAGCGTGTAGGAAGCCTTCATTCTGCCTGAGGTATAGATATTAAAG